CCAAAACCTTGCCATGAAAACCCAATACAAGGGAGTATCAGAAAACTGGGGTCTGAGTGATGTTATGGCACTGCCTGGATTAGATCCTGCTTCATTTAATATTACATGTTCCTCCTCAGGCTGCAACATTCAAAGTCATTGGAGTTTTGATAAGTACCTGGTTTTAAGCATTTTTTTGGTCAGAGACTTAGTTTTCCTGATGTACATCCTCAGCTCTTGAGCCAAAGAGCATGTTGCTGAAGTCTAGAGGTGTACAGCAGCTTTGCTTTCTCCTGCAGCTCGTGTTTAGGCATTGAAAAGCAAAGTTTCCTAGTGGGTAGAATATTTCTTTTTTTTTTTTTCTTTTTTTTTTTTTGTATGGATATTTAAGCAAATTTGCAGTGTCCTGTGTGTGTGCCTCTTGATAAAGGTGTACCTATGCAACAGCGCTGCTCTTCCAACAATTTTGCTTATCTTTGGTGATATCCATATATGCACAGTCCTGCCCTCTAAAGGGATTACTAAGAACTTCTATAGTATATATGTTTCTTGCAGGGCAGGATAAAAATTGTTTCTTGTTTTACAAGGCAGTGTGGCTTTTACTCATTTTTTTTTAGCATTACCATGTTAACATTGCTCATTTTAATTTTAATGCATAATTTTAACATTGCCACATTAATGACTAATTAATTTATTATTGTTCAGCCTGTAGTCTGTTTTTAAAGCTTAAGCGTGTGTCTGTTTTCAAAGGAAAACCTAGGTTGAAACGTAGATGAAAATGTCCCACTAGTTTGCATTTAGTTTCTGAAGTTTGATCATGGAAAAAAATAGTTTAATCAATATCTGAAGATGTTTTTTCTCATTTTGTCCTTTTCTTGACATTTTTTTCTCATTTACAATTCATATAATTATTTTTTTAGCCTCTGAGGTTAGTGTTGTCATGATTTTTTTCCTCTAGAGATCTTTCTGGTGTGATTAAGTAGAAGGAGACGGTAGTCAGGATATTGAGCTTCTAACAGAGATTCCTTCTGATAGATTCACCATGATGAAACACAGATGGGGAGAACGTCAAACCCAGCAAGGAAGGCAGAGCAGTCTGGCAAGAGGCTTCTAGTTTTTAGAGAATTTCAGGAAATAGGATGGAAAAATTGTGCAATACCATTAGAGCAAACCTTGCTCCATAAATCAGTCTAAGCAGACTGGCATTTGTGGGGGCTTTTTTGTCCTATAAAGTAAGCTAAACGTTTTTGCCATAACTGCAGAGAAGCAATAAAAGGCTAGTGAAGGCAAAGGTTATAAACAAATCATTCTGTGCCAACAGAGGGTCCATAGATGCTGACAAGAAACAAATAAAATGAATAAGGCCGGTACTCTGCTCTGATAAATTTCATTGATTTCTGCACCATGTCGTTCCGGTCGCAGCCTGCCCTGTTATCTTGTAGCTCCAAACCTTTCATTATAGCTTCAGATGATAACAGCTGTTGATATGTTGCAGGAGGTTGCAGTGACTGCCATGAGGGTAAAGTCCCATTTGCTAAGAAATAATTAGGAAAAACCCCATGGCTGGGTAGCTTTGATCTGCCTGTGGTGTTGTCCTTGCAGAGGACATTATATGTCAATACTGCATCTGTTTCCTGGATGAGTTCATGAAGCCTTTATGAGAGTACACATGCTCTATAAAGCAGTATAACCAGAAGTGTCCCACTTGCTGTGTCAGTGTGCCTGGAATTCATCAGACCACTGGGTTGAGACTGTCCAATCTCCACCTCTTTCATATACACATGGATAACTGAAGCTGTTTGCTGCTGTCACTACCCTATGTTAGTGCCACGTTAGGCAGTTTGTGTCTAGCTCAGGTATCTGCTCACATGTGCAGCAGCAACAAAAACGTGTCTGTAGCTGTCAGACTTGCACAAACCTCAAGTCAGCAATATTCACAAAAATAGAAAGCTAAAACATGTAAGGAGTCCCCAAGTCCTGTGTGATTTCCTGACAGTATGAGGTGAGATACAAGATACCTCTGAATCCCAAGAGGTTTAAGCAAATAACTGTCTTCCCTTTAGGTGAACACAAATCCAACCATTAGCTTCTGGTTTGTTTCTGATCTGATGCTGGGAGGAGAAGGGGGCCTGAAGCACAGTCTTAAGGAAGTTCTAGCAAAAGAGAGCACAAGCTGTAGGTGTGCAGTATAACCTGATATTGGCATACGCTATGGGAATGCTGGAAAACTGCCAAAGCACCTGCAGGCTGCTGCTTGGCTGGAGCCTTAGAAAGTGCTTGGTTCACTCTTTCTTACTAAGCGTTGGTAAAAGACTGAGAAGAGTATGCCTATGTGGAGGAAAACTGGGATAAGAGGACAAAAGGAGCACAAACCAGGTCATGCTTATAAGACTCTCTACAATACTGGAAATAACTGTGGAGTGCTTGTTATTTTGAAGAAACCCAAGTTCTAGCTATGCTGAGATGAATGAATTTGAAAGGAACTCCTCTTTATGCAATAAATACGCTCTGTGGAGTTACTTCTTTTATGATTTCCATTCCTCGGCAGCCCACCCCAGCTTGGGGTGCTGCAGTGTTCCTGCAGTGCTGAAAAATGTTTTCAAGGATCACAGTTCTACTGGAGCTTTTCTGTTCTTTGCTTTTATATGCAGATTTGTATTAGTGGGCAGAGAAGTTTATTTATTAATTGTTGTCACTGGAGTAGCCCTGAATCTGTCATCTGCTTCTGCCTTTGACTTGGCATATTGCTTGCTGCAGTCCTGTCTGCCTCACCATCCTGAACTTTTTACTCTTCTGCGGCTTCTGAGTAAAAATAAAAAGCCAAGGACAAGTTCAGGGAGTCCCACGGATGCAGTTCCAATGACCTACTGCACAAGTATATTTCAGGAACAGGTTTGGACTATGAGGCTGCTATCAGCTAGGAGGGAAGGTAGAGTACAGGTCAGAGGCCATCAGAGAAGAGGTGAGATGGCTCTCCGGGGACCTGCCTGCTTGCCTGCCTGCTGCATCTTGTTGCTCTTCTTAAAGACACTGAGATTGCCTTGGAATAGGCTTGCTTGCTTTCCCTTGGCAAAAAATACTCAGATTGGGGGGTCATAACGGGTGCCTTTAACCATAGGTGATGAAAGA